AAACGTTGACTGAATAAAGTGCTGTACCATCTTGGCTGAGGCTATACCACACACCCTCATACCGAAATTGCCACATTGTTTCGACTCATGATTGTAATAGACATACTGCACTACAGGGTTCATAGTTTTCGAACGTGTTAGAGAAGGGGGAACGTCTTTTCCGCGCGTCCGTCGAAACTACACTGAAGTGCAAAACTTAGGTGCGGAAGCAACTTTCGATTATTGTACATTTGCCGGGCAACATAGCTCGATGAAATTTTCACCACACCGGGAGAAAATCATTGCGGTACTGCACAGAAGCAATTGACAAAAAATTGAAATAAGGCGAAAGATACGGCACTTTTATGTTAAAGTACCGATTACACATAAGCCTTCATCATTTGCGCTGGTACTTCAAAAAAAGGCGACGGAGTTCCTATAGGGTATGTGATCACCACGGAGAGCAACACATGGGCATTGCCTTTCCACTAGGTTTGTAATGAGTTCCGGTAGTAGGGCATTCCTCTTCTCTATTAGTGCAATCGGATTGTTTGGTCCAACAGTTGCTGGATCGTCACTGGTTCATTTAGACGTGTTACAATGTCTCCCCAATGCATCCCAGATAGGATTTAGGTCGAGGGAACGAGACGGCCACTCCATTCGCCGGATATCCTCTTGTACCAAGGGCTCCTCCACCTGTGCTGTTCCATGCGGCCGCGCATCCATATAAATGAATTCAAAGCTCACTGCAGCCCTGAAGGGACTCACATGAGGAAGGAACACCTCATCACAGTAACGCCGACTGGTAATGTTCCTCGCTCAAAAATTTGGAGGTCACTACGGCCATGCAGCATGATGCCTCCCCATTCCATAGTACCTCGACCTCGGTGAGAATGTTTGTGGGAATTTGCGTGTTCCCACCCATCGTCATATGAGGGTGCGTCAAGAATCACTACACTACTCTGACCGAAGCTGCTCCCATCCGAAAAGAGCACGCGGCTTCACTTCTTGTCTGTCCATTTGCCATTCTCCTGGCATCTTCCTGAACAGTCTCGCTGATTCGCAAGAGTTAAAGGAAAATGAAGGGCGGTCGTCGTGTGAACAGAACATCATGGCGTAATCGTCGTACCCCTGTAGTGCGCGAGATGGTTTACTTCAGAGCCCTGTTAAATGCCATCGCAATCACAGAGGCTGACTGACATGCATCTCTTCTTCCCTGCTGCATAATGTCGCTCTTATCCTTTGATGCAGTTGATTTTGATTTTTGATTTTTTCACCGCCTCTCCTTCGGACAGCAGCACTAATAGTTCGGAATGCTCTCCACGCAGAGGAAACAACGCTGTGAGTGATACCGAGTTTTTGAGCTGCACTCGTCATGGCTCGACCTTCTACGAGCTTCCCGACGATACCTCCTCGTGTAAAGTCATCCAGATGATGTCTGCGGGGCATGTTGTAAAAAGGATACTACAACAGTACTGTGTAATTACTCGCTGACTGACAAAAGGTTTTTTAGTCCCTACTATATCAACTGCCTCGTTTTGCTCGGGCAGCCATATTTTGCGCCTTACTTGAACTACTCCTCCACGAAGGGAGTCCAGACTTTGGAAAAAACCGTTATCTGTCTGACAAGATACTCTCACACTTTCATTTACTTCCACCCAGTACCACTGCGATCTCGAACTGACATTACAGTACCACTAACTTCCTAACTAACTAGACTGGAATAGCTCATCGGTAGTGAAGAAAGCAAGGGAATTCGCCAATTTCGAGAAAAATATGGCTCCTCAAAAGTAGGGAAAATAGAGGTTGGACGAGATTGCCGTGACGGAAATAGTATGGAAGGGGTATTCGGACGAGACTTCAGTTATTGAAATTGCACAAAGAGTTGACCACATCAAGCCAGAACTGTATAGAACTGTTTCTCATTGTCGCTATGGGTCATGACAAGTTGTTTGAATTTCCTACATGGGTTCCCTTGTGATCAGTGCAGCCTCTAGAATGCCGGTGAAACTTGTCAACTTGTCTTGAAAATGAAAAGGATACACACGGGCCAATCTTCGAGCCTTTATAACTCCCTAACTCGGCCGTTTTCGACCTAACAGTGCCAGATATGGTATACGCTAGGGCCCCAAAATCATCTTGTGGGGGAAGCTCAGAAACCATTTTTATCGTGAATTGTGGCTTTGATGCTTACTGCCGTGGAACAAGCGCAAGTCGTATGGCCCATTGACAACCGTGACATTCGCCGAGAGTCGCGGGCTGACACGCTGCGTGCAACGGCTGCTGCGTAACCTAGTTTTGACGGACGCGCGAAATGAAGCGAACCCCTCGAGAAGAAACATGGTTTTCCGTAGAACAAGTCACACTCACCAGTTTAGCGATGACGATTAAAAGTATTATGCAATGTCCTATATACATTGTGAAATACACGGAAGTCCTGTGTGATTTGTAGAAAGAAACAGTGTTGCATGCGTGCTTATCACAACAGCTGAATGAGGTAAATATTAAGGTTGCTTTGAGTAGTATTACACCTGTGGGCGAACCTAGTTCTAGTCTAGAAGCATTAGTTCATATTTAAAGACAACAAAATTTCTTCTCTGCCACCTGACGCTCTAGGCAAGACGTTGTCGTGAGAATCGGAAGGGCTCACAAGTGAGGTTGTTTTGATATTGACCATCAGCAAACTGAACATGTTAGTAACAAGCAAGCTGGTGGAAAAGGTGGCTGTCTGCTCCTGTGACACTAAACACTACCCTGCTGATGCTTTTCCTACAAAGTACCGGGCAGTTTCATGTGCTTGGGATCTACCCTTATTTCACAGTACATGCACAGACATGTGGCGGGAAACGTTGAATGAATTGAATGAATCTGCTTTAAGATGGTTAAGTAAATTTTTACTCGATGGTGAAGCCTGTTCCTCCATTGGGTACTATTGGAAACTGCTCACTTTGTGGACTGAGCTGATCACGGACATTCAAACGCAGGCGACATTCCCTGTGACAGGCCAGCCAACGAGCATAAACGTTCATCACAATGTTAGCGTCACTGTGTGAAAATCTAGATAAAGCTTCGGCTTTCGCAGAAACCGACGCGCACTCACAAACCTCGGCGAAATTGAAAAGCATGCGAGGGTCTCCGGCGCAAAGCAGAGCATGCGAGGGTCTCACGACATTGCCAGGCGACTGGACTAATTCAAATGTCCCTCGACGTAAGCAAGACTCGCGTTGTGACGTTCACTGTTGACATGTTATTTGGTCGCTCGTACGAAGCTATAGAGCGATGACGGATTGATTTCTGTGCCGTGCAGATCTTAGTCCTGCTGCAAGTCGGGGGACATTGGCCACGGCTTCGTGCCGTTTTCTGCGGTAATTCCAAAACCACCAACGGTGTCGAGATGATTGCCTCTGAACGTGATTCAATAGTAAGCGTGGAACACTTCGATGACCCCTTAATGAAAATCATCGTCGTACGCCAAAAACACAATTTCTTCTCGATATACGCTCCACAGACTGAATACTCGGAGCAAATCAAGGACAAGTTCTGCAACCTGCTCGACAAAAAGCCGAAGTACCGTTACAAGAAGCCATAGTTGCCGCAAGCGACCTGTGGTCACGTAGGCGCTACGAAATACGGTTTCAGCTGTTATGGTGGTTTCGGAAATAGGTCAGGTGATACTGACGGAGAGCAAATTCTTGAATGTGCATACTCACATAGTCTCGCCATTGTGAATACGAAATTCAGAAAACGATTATCATCTCATCAACTTCTATTACGGTGGAAATAGAACACGATTTGATTCCGTCTTTGTCAGGCACCGCGATCGTAAAAGACCCGTGAACAGTGCCTTATGAAACGGTCGCCGCACAACACCGACCATCGATTTTCACGCTAAAGATCGTCCGCCGAAATCGAAGCCAGTCGAAAGCTGTGGACGTGCAAGAATCGAATGGTGGCTACTCAAGGAAAAAGAAGCGGTTATCGTTCCGCACATTCATTCGCCAGCGATAACGACTGTCGACGAAACTTGGAAGGACACTGCCGAAGCAATACTCTCTGCATGATCAAGGCTGTATGGGCCAAGGTTGGCGAGCAAATATGGCTATGGACGGACCATGTCAGAGGTAAATTGTGTTATGAGAATGACCAATAGCGCGCTTTTCTTCTCGAGAATACAGCTACTCGCTATCATACAGCGAAAGAAGAGGCAAGGAAAGCTGTTGCTTCGCGAGGGCAGCTCATTTTGCTGATCTCGGCGGAAAGTCGAGTCTCGCAATGGGCAGTTGTACGTTTACCTGCTCAAAGACTCGCTTTAGCTAGACCGAGGATATAGAACAATTCTTCTGATCAAATAACTTGAACGGTCGCCTCTTGACGGACCGCAAGCAAACATCGAAGCGATGGCGAGGGTACTTCGAAAGCATCGCAGCATTCGAATTTGTCGTTATCCCTTGCGCCCCATGGTCCACGTCCTCTTCCAGAAGTCAACGGTTAAGGAGAGCAGTACGACTGAGAAGGGGATAAAATCTGGCAAAGCAACTGGTGACGACGTAGCGCGATTAGAAAACCAATGTGTTGGGATGTTGCAGTGTTTGACGTAGCTCTCCAACCAGGTCATTGCTGAGAAGACAGTCCCCCCTCCCCCTCCCCCCACAACAGAGACTGGTATACTTCGCCTTTCTAGACTTCGAAAAGGCTTTCTATCGCTCGGCGTGACGTTATATGGTTTGCTTACGACGGCATACTGTTCCTCATGAGCTTATCGAGTGGGTATGGAAGCGTCCTTTACTCTGTGTAGTACAAACAGTAGTGTGCAAATGGTAGCGAACGCATATCGACGGAATTTTCCATCCCCGTCGAAATATACCAAAGCCCGCGTTATCCTCATCACTATTTGTTGTTGCCATGAACACCATTACGTTTACAAAAGATATCCAGAAGCCGGTTCAGTGAACGCTTCATTATGCCGATGACATGATGCACGCCAGTCAATTCAATAGGGGTTTTCCTTTCTCGGATTGGGGGATAAGCTTTGCATTAGGTACAGAACTGTTCTGGAAGAGTTTCAAGAATTTCCACAAAATTTATCAGCACATTACCAAGTATCCGTTCATCCATTCAGAACGCCCCAGAACTCCCATTCAAAGTGCCCACTTTCCTGCCACTGCATTACCCCGTCCACTGGAGATCTTATCTCCCACTCTAGACACCTTTTTTGAAGTCGTCCACCTCCTCGCCACCCCACCGCCTGCGGATTTAACCCTTTATTCAAATACATTTCAAAACACTGATATCGAGCAAAATTTGGCTGCTCAAAATTGTTGGGGAGATTTTGAACTTTCATGCGCTATCACTATTCCTAGATTTTTGCTAAATAGAAGACCGGAAAACTTTTCTGGTAGGTGATCACCGTATTATGCCCGTAGAATTGTTGAGCTTTTTCTCTCTTTAAATCACTTTTCATCAATCTCACCGCTCAATATTACTTTCTGCCATACGCCCCCGATATCATCTTTTTATCATTTCTAACTTTTGCTACGATGATCTCCTAACCATCTTTCAGAAGATGCAACATATTCAACAAGCGCTACCCATTCTAAGGTTGTTCACTTCTGAAAACTTCTCTCGTAACATACCGTAACTTCTGAAGCTCGTTAAATTACGCAAGGCACGTTTTTTGGAATCGCCCATCTGCTAATTGATCAAGTTCTCATTTACTGCTTTTCAACAGTGAGTCATCACTGGTCTTCCCTCTTCAGTTTTCTACTTGGGACCACATGCCACAGAACTTGAATTACATCACCCTTTCGAAACATACACCGTACACCGACAAATGCACACAAAAAGTATGTGTAGCAGCGTGATTGCTTGGGTCCAAGTAAGCCATAGGTTGAACATATAGTCCTGCACAATGAAAATGCTTACCAGTATGCCATGGCGTGACTACCATTGGAATGGCATCCTGGCGAAGAGCATAAGCGTTGATTGAAGACCAAGTCGTTGCCAGGAAAACTGGGATAAATAACACACATCCTTCCAGGTTGTAGTAACTGGAGAAAACGATGTAATTACATCGCTACAAAAGATATTTACTATAGTGAGAAAGGCATCCGAAGGCAAGGAGAGTAGAACTCACGACGAGTTCAATGTTGTCCTTCGATAGCCTTCCATCGTAGCATTTAATGTTGTCTGAAAACACACCAAATATTTCACCAATCTAATGGGTAGACTTTGGCGAATTCGGCTTACTCTCTGCTTTGGACGTGAGCACCATAGCAAGTATCCTGTACCATAGCATGTCACCAATCTACAAGAAGAAATTATGAAAATTGCACCACCCCTGTCTTGCTGAAGTTTGCAAAACATGGTCTTTAAGGTTATCAGGAGTGAATAACGATCAAAGTGGAATGTATTGAGTTTACTCATGTCGAAGTCTGTACACAGAATACTCTTTCGATGCCAGAAATATTGTTGGCGTTCACATTTTCTTTTGAGATATTTTTGCTGATCACCCCATCTTCGAGGTCATAGTCAAGCTCACAGACCCCCGGTCCATCAATCCCAAAACATCTATCCTGCATTCTTTCAGAACGTGTAGGCCGGCACTGGTGGCACTCACTGGGAAGTAAGTCCTTACGTCCTTAACCCAGTTACACATACTTCTTAAGATAATTTGGGAGAAAATTCAGAGCAAATTCTCTATGCCACCTGCGTCATTTTGGCAAAACATCGGCATATATCGCAAGCAGGTTTTTTTTCTTCGGTTTTTCCATAAGGCAACCGGTGCATCTTCTCCGGTTCCCTCGGACTCCCATTCCTATTTGTGAATTGCATTTGGAGAGGAGGTATGTCGTTGAACTTTCAAGGTGAAGATTCTACAAGGTTCATCCCAGCAATGGCGTACGCCTCTAACCAATCCACCACTAAAACTTGAGGAAAAATCCATCCTTCTTATCTAGACTAATACTTGTTTATGATACTACCAGTCGGGCCGCCCGGCTAACACCGGGCTTCCCTCCTTCTTATGGTGTCGCCCGGCTTCGCCGGACGCTCATCCGTTTTGTAAAAAATTTGCTATGCGTAAATAACACTTCGGATTCTCTTTTTTCCTTGGAGGCTCTACACCCTCAGTATTAGCTCCGAATTGGGGTCAAATTTTTTCTGTATTATAATTGATTATATACTAATTAGAAGTCTCGATTCATTGCTCTTCATCTTGAAATTGTGTCAGATTGATAGCTTAACTGATTGGCAGATGTCTTGAATGGTGCCCAGAAATGAATAATAACGCCTATCACAGATGTCGTTATCAATAGAACAATCTTCCCACGGATTTTCATTAATTGGGAATCCCAAATCATTAGCAGTCGGATGAGTCTAGTCATAAATGATATGCCACAGAACAAAAAGGAATCGTGGTACTTCATTGTGTCATAAAGCTTACTGCGTAACGGTCTTAGTTTAACAGTAAGAAATGAACAATTTTCTCACTTCGTTATGGTGAAGTGTCTTTGATCGGCCGCTGTTACTGCATTTACCCGTCCTATTGAATGAAACATTTTAAAGAAGCAGAATTTGATCGTGAATACCCTTTTCCTCTCTAATCCCCCTTATCAGTTCTTAT